TGCATCAAATCAATTCAATTAATTACCAGAGAGTAATAACTACTTAAAAATTTATTCAGAAAAATTCATTTTAATTATATAAGTACAAAATGAATTGGATTAATAATAATAATAATAATAATAAGTCTATAAATGTAATTTTTATTATCTCTGAACAAAATTTTAGCTACATATTTTAAAATTTTAAATCATTCAAATCTTATTTTTATATATTTAACTGGTTTCGAAATATATATATATATATAAATATACCGAAAGGGTTTGTTTTATATTTCTTCATAAATATGTAAAATGGGGAAAGCATGCAAAAATGTCAGCCGGTTGTATTATTTTTGAATAAATACTCGTCATTTATTTTGAATGACAAATGTTTTATGCATTATAATGAAATGTGTCCACATGTGGTCCGAGATAAGGAGGAAAGAAGGACAATGCTTCAGCGTGATAAATGATGCACAACAAATGTTTACTGACTATTCTATCAGTTTTGTTAGTACAAAATAGGTGATCCAAATCACAGTTTATGACAATATGCAGCATAAAATTTTCAAAGATTTATATTGAAATGATAAAAAATTTTGTTCTGGAGGACCTGGAATCGAATCCGGGCGGTTGAAAACTACCAAGAATTTTTCGTGGGAGATCTGTCCTGGATACATTGGGCTCCATCCCTCATCATCCGGCCGCATCCATTGAGCCTGGTCGACCTCACAATGGGCATGGAAAAAGTGGCCTTTAAATGGACCTTTTTCTATGCCCATTCAAAATAATGAGGCGCAAAGAGATTAAAAAAAGGATAAAAATTTATTTCAGATATCGTTATCGTCATAGTTAAATAAAGATACAATATTTTCTTATTGTTTACGAGCCTATTCCTCACATTCTAAAACCTTCTACTTTTCAATTAGCGAGGATTTCTGTTTTAAAGTTTATGATAATAATTATTTGTCTTAACATACTTATTTTTTATTGATTCAATCATATTTCATAACTTGCTCTACTGACTGCTGAGAGAATTTATCGTATTGTATTGCGTTAGAACAAAATATAAAATATTTCAGATCCATCTTCGCAAGGATCAAAGTAAGATAACATTATTGTAAAAGCAGCCATTTTTCACTTCCCAGAAGTTTTAAACATGTTCAGTTGACGAAAACCTTATTTGATTCGAAAGAACAAAAACATGAAAAGAAGCGAATGCTCTGAGTTCCCTTTTAAAGTTCACATTTTCTAGTTCAAATTGAATTCTGGAATTTAATTTTGGTATTGTTGAGGATGTGTCATTTGATATCTTTTCAAGCTACTTTGATCCTCTTACCTACATAGAGTAAAAAGATTGCATTATTGAAATAACAAAACAGGTGTTGGAATTTTTTTATTATGTTTATAGCGATGACATATGAAAATAATTTATATTTTCAATTAATGTCGAATGATTGGTACGAAGATTATATGATGTAAAATGATATTTTAGTCCATTCATTGATTAAATTAAAGGGCATAATGCAAAAATTAAAACAAATAAACTAAAAGTAAAAATTATATAATCCTAATTTTAATTTAAAAGATAATTTTTTAGACTTAATGTTAGTTAAAAATCAAATTTGCAAAGATTTTCATGGATTGATGGCTTAAGGCAACTTGGGAAATCTGTCAAGAGGGAGAACATTCTATAGGAAACTACCTCCTATTTAGGTGTTACATACACAAACAAACCCAGGAAAAATTCATGTGGGCCCCCGTTAGTGATGCCCGAAACCACGATCTACCACTGATCAATGGTTTTATTCGCTCGATCGTGGTCCAGAACTTTTCATACTCATTACGTTTCAATATTACTTAGAATAATATTAGCATTGTAAAGATTTTAAATTATTTAATGAATTGCTAATAGTTTATTACAATTAAAATTTAAGAGAAAGTGTGTAAACTTGCTAAATAATTTTATCGGGGTTGTAGGATTTTTCTAAAATTTTAAATGAATAACTTTTTTGAAAGAACGTTTAAAAAAAATAAAATAACAATGATTCTTTTTCCTTCTACTTCTTTATTCTCATGTGTTTTATATTCAGAACTAAATTGTTTTTCTGTTTCATTCGTGTTTGGCATTTTTTACGTAAGAATGCCAAACTATTGTTCGATAAGGAGTGTGCTCGATTCCAAGATGGTTTCTGTAATAATAATAAGTCAGACGTGTCAATTCGGGTTCGGAACAAATCTTTGGTCTCTGGACGAGACTGAATAATAAATATTCGGGACATGTAATAATCTTCAATGACGTTGATCGATAGACATTGAAGGATAAAAGGCCAACGGCCTAAAGCATCCTCGATAAGAATAAATTTTGTTTTATTGACGAGAACTTAACTGTCTTCATCGGCTTCTTTATATTAAAAATGACATCTGATATAAGAGGATACACGCTTGTACGATCGTTTTTTTTTTCTTTTTTTGGTTTAAATCTAGAAGAAATTATATTAAAAACGAAAACTAAATTTTTAACATTTGTTATCTATTACGAATAAACACAGATAACTTGTAGAAATATTTCTAATAATGATATACAATGAACTTTTCCATGGACATTTTTAGGCTGTTTCATGCTAAATGTTGTATTAGAATATTAAAAAAAAAAAGCTATTTCAATTATTAAGTGAGTAGTAAATGTCAAAGGAAAAAGTCTTTGAAACGAACTTGGAAACATTTCAAAATAAATTATCAGATTAATACGTAGCTTATTTGCATTTTACATTTACATTTTGTTCACTAGTTAATGGTACAAAAATAGTAAAAAGGTACACAGATATAAGCAAAGATAAGAAAAACGATCTGTCAAAAGTTAAAAAAAAAATTTAAGGAAACCGCTTTATTGTGTATAGAAAAAAAATCTTGCACGATATAGAAATATTTTTGATGATCCAAAAAGTGCATTTTTGTTGCATGCAGCGCTAGCAATGAAAAGAAGTATGGTAGTTGGCACACGATCCTTCTATATTGCAGTACACTGCAAGATTATAAATGTTTAAAATAGATCATGAATTCTATTAATCATTAAATAAATAAATACAATTATTATTATATGTATAAATTTTCAAAATTATAGAATTGCAAATAAAGACTTTTGTATTTAAAATTTTTCTTTGTTTGTTACACTAAGTTTTATTTGATATTTTGTCACTTATATAAACATTTTTTATATAATCTAAGCCACTAATAACTTAAAATATTATTTACCGCATTCTTTAATATTAAGTAAATAATTCTATAAAGTTTTAACAATTTTTAATTAATAAGTGTTTAAAAAAAATAAATTTCACATACACCAAAAGTTTTAAAATTTAAGTAGAAGTAACTACAGAATTTTTAATTGGTGACACTATTTTTTAACAGCAGTAAAGGGAAGGCCGTCTAATAATTCAACAATAAAAATTAAAGTCTTAATGTAATTAAAAATGATACTAGTCGTCATTTTTCCCATTTATATTTGACCATCCTGATAAATAATTAACTTTCCAATTGAAAAAGCAAAATTGAAATGATTAGTTCAATCCAATTTCATTCTTAACACATCAACAATTTTCATGAATGTGTTATTGCACTAATTAGTAAACGTCATACCAAACGCCATTATTTCTTAATTTCGAATTTACTAGTGGCATTTAACAGTTTTCAGTCAAAGATAACATTACTCCTTGATTGTCCTTTTGTTAATTAACAAATTCAAATATTACCAATTTTAAATATACGTCATAATTTCCATAAATTTAAGATAAATTAATTGTCTCTTTTAATTACTTTCTCATACTGTCTTTTTTTATTTTTGTATAACTTTTGATGTTTTATAAGGTGTATAAATAAATTGAAATATAGGAATTTGAATTATTTATATATAAATTCAATAAGTATGTAAAACAGAATTTGGACTTTATCCATGGAAAAAATGTGATTTTTTCAATTTAAAAATATTAATATATTATTTATAAATGTTATTATGGATGACAAAAATTCAAATAATTATTCTCGACATTATTTTTCTTACATTTTGGGTTATGCTTATAAGCAGACTTTATGGTCGGTTCTTCTGTACTAACTAGAAAATTTCTGAAATTTTTTGCCAAAATACAATTAATATAAAAAAGGGAAAAGACACGTTGAAAGCAAAAGTGAAAAAAAAAGATAAAGTACTGGAATTTTTATCCATTAAAGTGACATCAAGAATAAAATGAAGATCAGGTTGAATAAGAAGATAGACGAGGATTCTTTCTGCGGTTGGCTATCCATTAGTTGTAATTTCTATCTACTTTTGTACTGCGGTTCTTCTTTCATTTTGAAACTATAAATCCTTTGAGTAAATTCCTATAATTCTTTGAAGTTATATAAAAGAATAGAAGAAAGTAAAATTATGCCAATGCATAAATTTGCTGCTTTCTTTACTTAAAAGCAAAATATCAACCCAAAGGAACAGAAGTTTTAATCCTCCTTGGATTAATGAAAGTTTATTATTAACAGTAAATGTCATTACATATTCTGTATTTGAAAATAATTATGTCTTCTTCATCATATTTTGATTAATAATCATGAATTTATTATATATTTAGAAATTTAATGGGATATTTTGCAACAAATTTCAAGATTTATTGTAGTTTATTATTTCTTAGAAATAATTAAATTTAAGTAAATTTTATTTATAGCATCATAAATTCTGATAAATTAGTTGGGATATTATCTTCGTTTCTTAAGTGATGTATGGAAAAAATCAATTTACACTTATCTATAAACGATACTCCAATGAGTATTTAGGAATTTTGAAATGATTAATTACTGTAGTGTAAAATAAAATATTTTTTTTTCAGAAATTTTAAATGTAAAAAAAAATTATATTTATAGATAAATAATTTAGCGATATAAATTTTTAGAATTTCGGGTTTTGGTTTTGAGAATGGAACTAAATATGTCTATTATTTATTGTGAAATAAATAAATATTTAATGCGATTTTCAGAGGCCATCATGGATTTGCGCAGAATGCACCAAAAGAAAACAACCATATGGCACAAACAGCAAAAATACACGAACAACAGTTGAGACAACAAGAAAGAACAAGGATGAACGGAGATCTAGAAGCGGCCAGATTACAACAGCAACAACAAACATCAGTAATACAACTTGGTGGTCGATCCATGGGCATGCAACAGACTTATTCTGGTCAGCCTATCATGGAACAACGAACATCGTCTCAAAGTATAACCGGAAGCGGATATTACGCGGGAACAGATGTGATGTCACAAGATAAGGTAGGATGAATCTAGAAGGTCATTGGGTAAGTTTTTATATCGTTTACAGTTGGGTGTGGTCTTTTGTCATAGTGAAATTTGTAGTGTTTATTTCAAAAAAAAGGAGGGGAAAAATAAAGCAAAAACACAATTATAGACTAATAAATTTAACAAATTTAAGGGACATAGAAATTTTTAAGCAAAATACTTAAAATATTAAAGAAAGCTGCATTATTGTTCCTTATGCAATTTAAAACAGATAATTTAGCTGATCCTTTATCAGTTGTACTGTTATAATAAATTACACTGACTTCATAAAATATATAAACATCGTTTAAATAGTTTAGGTACAGATCAAAGAGTAGAGCTTAAATTTCATTTAAAATATAAATATTCATCAAACGTCAATGAATAACTGCAAGATAAATGTAAAAAAAATCTTTAAGTTTAAAAATTACACTTAAATATGAACACTTATAAAATAATTTTATCAAGGTTTTATGACAAATTTTTCTGTATATTTACTATTTATTAGTTTATTAAAAATGTTATAATATTATTTATTACGGCAAAATCAATAACAGATTAAATCTGGGCTTAGTAAAATTGATAGAATTATTCGAAATAGGAATTATAGTAAAACATTATAAACTCATATAAGCCTATATATATTATTAAAATGTAATAAATATTTTAACAGAGATAAAAAAAAAGTAAATAAAAACGTCTTAACACTTAAATTTTGTTGAAAATCTCGAAATTATTATTATGTTTTTTATTATACTATAAAGCTATAGGTGCTACTGAATATTTAATGAATCATATTTGTTCACTTTAAGTGTCGTATATGTGAATATGAGATATAAAATAGAATAAAGCATTGACTTAAATAATATATTAAAATTGGCTTTTATACTGTATACATTCTCAATACTAATATAAAAAATATATGTTAAAACATTTTGTGTTAGTAAATTTTTTATAATTTCAACATCAATGATTTTTAAATAAAAATTGCTATAATAAATTGCATTGACTTCATAGAAAATATAAACATCTTTAAATAATTTAGGTACAGATCAAAGAGAGAAACTTAAACTTTGATTTAAAATATAAATATTCATCAAATATCAACGAATAGCCGCAGGATAAATTTAAAGAAAAATTCAAAAATTAGAAACTTGTTTATATTTTGGATTAAAATTTCTAAATTTTACATTATAAATTTAATAAAAAAAAGTTTAAAATTTTTTTATTTGATTTATATTCTGTTGATTCAAGATTATGGAATACATAAGAGACAAAAAAAAAAAAAAAAAAAAGNATTCTAAAGTCAATTTTCGTGTAAAATATAATTTTCGATACAGTTCGAAATTGGGGAAATGTTAATACATCAATTATATTTTAATCGAAATAACTAATTTAATTAAAGTATTACATTTAAATTCTCCAATGACACTTATAACTTTAAATTTAAATTAAATTTAATGTCATTTGTATTAAAAGAAAAAAAAAATGTTTTTTTTTCGTTTGACAGAGGCCATTAAAGTACATTTAAGGACTTGTTAGGAACATTTCACGCCTTTCATTATCATAAAACAAATTTTAAAAATAAACAATTTTAATTTTGTTTTAAAAATTAGTAAGTTTTATTTATAAATTATAAATCAATCGAGCGATATTTATTATTATATGTTTAATAACTTTTAAGAAAAAAAATTAAAAATATATTTTTGTATTACTTGTAAAATAACATTTCGAGTATAAAAACCAGCATTATAACTTCTCATAAAAATAAAAAAAATGCAGAATATGAATAAATATTCCGTAGTTATAGTGTTTTTTCACGAGTCTTTCCCCCTGTGGGCACTAACAGGGCCTTTTCTCAGGCCCATCGTAAGTTCGGCCAGACCCACAATGGGAGGTAGCTGGATGGTGAGGAATGGGTCCTGACATAGTTGGGATAGACAACCCCTAAAAAGTTTCTGATTTTTGGCCTCTCGAATTCGATTCCGGGTCCTTCAGAGCGGTAAGCTGATGCCTTAACCACCTTGGCCATCCGTTCGGGGTTATATCGCGTTTATTGTGAATTTGCATAGATTTATAACATAATCTATTTTATAAATATAGTTTCAATATATTTTCCTCTGAAAAATAAAATTAAAAATAAAAAAGCCCGGTTTTTAGCTGTTTGACTTCAGTTCTTAATAGCCTCTTTACTTCATAAATTTATATTTTAATAATTTCCAAATATTTCAAATAATTTTCAATAAAATTTTATGAATATTACATGCTTTAATATTGTGAAATGTAAAATAATTGGCAAATCGTTAGATGTGAATTTTTAATAACCTGAAAATGCAGCTTTAATGCAGCTTGTTGGATAAAAATGCAAATTTTCAAATTCTATTGAAATCTTACAAATAAAAATAGACCAGACCAATTTAGTTTTGAATTCTAATTTTTAATAATACCAAGTTAAATTTGTTCACTTATGATAATTTCTTTAAATATGGTAATTCATTTTTCTGGCCAAAATCTAATATACTCGTAAGTTTCGATAGCTTTAAGTTTTATATATACATATTATCGAACAAATGAGAACATCATCAATAAAGAAAATATAAACAGAATATCATTAGTGATAATGTAGACTAGCCTGTCTACTCTTTATCTTAGAAAACATGCCTAAAGACATTAAACTACAATTATTTTAATATAGATTTTACTTAATTATTTAATGAAACTTGACAGCCGGATTGCAGAGAGGTTTCAAGGTGTCAGCTTACCGTTTTGGGGCACTCGGGATTAATTGGGCAGTTTATCTCTGATATATCGACCTTTGTCTTTCTCCACTCAGTCGTCTCCATTATGGGCCTGATCCGAACCCACGATGAATACGGAGAAAAGCGCTCTTACTCGTTACTGCCCATATGGCTATTCCGTGCTGTGAGCACTAAGAGGGCTTTTTTCCCCATACCCATTGTGCTAAAAAGTTGATTAAACTTTCGATTATATGTTTTCCTATTTCATTTAAAATTTTTATTAATTATTAAATTCTAGAAGAGGTATTGCATCAAAAAATGATCAAACACATTTCCAAATGATGTAATACAATATTATGAAGATATAATTACATTATTTAGGCCTGTAGATTTCTCATTTAACTTATTTATAATTTGCAAATATCAGCGTTAAAATTAGAAATTGTAAGAATTTTTAATATTAATTATTTGAATTACTGTGAAATATGAAAAAATAAACTTTTTATTTTACCTTTTGTGTTAAACAATAAGAAAATTATTCTGTTAGCTTGTAAGATGAATTTATGTAATAACTAGACCTAAAGCTTATTTAAGTACAGTTTCAAGTTTCTCAATGGCTCTCCATCTAACTGAAGCAGGCAAACGGTGCCTTTGAGGCATTACTGACTACGTGATCAATTTTGATTCGAGACGATTTCAAACATTATACGTTAAGTTCGATGATTTTCGAAGAGAAATATTTATTTATTGTGCTAGAAACTCAATTCAGAAAGAAGAGAGAGATAATATTATATTTTCTCCCTTCAAATTTCATGTTCAACATTCATATGCGAACTGTAAGAGTTTGTAAGTAATATATCAGCGTAGCGACAAATGTGTTTGTAATGAAAGATATAGAAAATACAATTATTAATTTTATCTCAAAGTAATTATTATTATAAATAACATAAACTTTCTCAATCATTAATCTGGACACAATCTAGGAAAATGGAAGGAAAAATAATGATTTAACTATTGGATCGTTACTAATCAAACTCTAGTCATTATTCTATACATTATGAATATCGTTCAGATTGCATTATTGCTCTTGATGTTCTCTTATATCTAAAGATTATGATGTATCAGGAAAAATTACAAAATTCGTCTACTGAAATAATAAATTATTATATTAGTAGATTCATTTTCAACTTTTTATATCCAATTAAACAATATTAAATAGTTTTAAGGCATCCTTATTGAAGAATGATTAATATGATTAATATTATATTAAACAAAATTTTGAACTTGCTAATAGAAGTGAATGCTTTGTTTGAAGGAATTAAGATTTTCAATCTAAAAGCTAATGAAATTTTAAATTATTATTTATTTTTTAAAAAATAATTTAAAAAATTTTAAAGATTATATTATTTTGAATGTTATAAAACGTTTTAAACTTTAAAAAAAAATAAAAATGCTAAATAAATATTAAAAGAAACTGATAAATCCATCTGAATACAGTACTACGAGGCCTGTTTTATAGATTTGTTTTATATAATAAATTTCAACAAAATGATGATATATAAAAGAATACATAATTTATAAAAATGTTTAATGATTTCTGCGTATTTAACGAGTCTACTTCATTCATAATTGTTTTTCGTCTTAATCACGAAATTCGCCAACGCGTTATAATTTAATTAAAACACCAAAATTTATGGAAATAAATAAGCAGCAATCTAATTAAAAATGCAGAAGGAAGATCAAAATTTTCACCTTGCCATCAGAATAAAGAATTCAAGCATTAATTCTGCTCTCTTAACGAAATAAATTGTGCGAATAATTCATTATTTTCATTTTTTAACGAATATCCTTGTTAATTCAGCAAGTATATAACGTTGTTCTTTAATCAGAGTATTATTGATGTAAGCAGTAATATAAAAATATTTTTAAAAAATAAAAGACAAAGATAGAAAACATTATTTTTAATTTGATAAAATGTTTTCGAAATAGAAAAGAAATACCGTATATATCAATATTTTATTTGCTGAAGCTACTGCCTAGCAATAGTGAAATAAATAAATATAGATACAATATCAAATTTAAAAAATAATATAACTTGAAATATTTATTTAATCTTCTACTCATTTGATTAAAAAAAATGCTTTTATCGTTATTAACGGATAAAAATGAAATGATCGATTCCCCTATTACAGATAATCAAGAAAGTAGCTGGTTGAGCATTAATGCAGTACATACGTTACCTAAACCTCATTAACAATATCATAAATAATAGAAAAGATATCGTCTCTATCCTCTATACTCTCAGCGAATTTTTTTTTTCTGGGGAACATATTAACACTTTCTTTACTGTTCTACCTTTTACACTAGTAGCAACGTTTTAGAAATATTTTTACGCTGTAAAATATGCAGGGAAAAATTATATAAATTTATTTCCTTAATAAAAATTAATTAAATTAATTACAAATCTAAATTTTATTTCTTTTAATATATTAATTTAAATTTAGAATATAATTTAAAGATTTCTAATAATTTTAATGTAATTTTAAAAAATAATGGTTTTAAAATTTAAACTTTAAAGAATTTGACTAATAATGTTTCTTTGTCGATAATGTTTTTTTCTGAATTTTTTTAAAAAATTAAAAATGATAAATGTTGGAAATAGTTAAATCATTTTATCATTGTGTCATCGCTGTTTAATGCAATGTAAAAATAAAGTACCCTTTGACACAACAGGGAGCAATGCACTCATTTACGAGACACTCAGTTTAGTATCTATAGATTATACAAATATAATTTTAATTTATATCTGAAAATAGTAAATTTCGCTGTAAACTGTGAATTTATCACGATTTACAAACAAACATTATTAGTTTTAAAAATATTTTTCAAAATCTGTTAAGAAATTTTAGATATTAGAGTAGCACTATTGCGCCTACTTTCCTATTTTTTTTTTCTTTCCACCAGATGGCCGAAGCAGGACGAAGGGAGGATGCCAAGTCACGTGAGTATCCCGCACCTCCAGCAGTAGACTCTGTAGTTACTCATGACGGTCAAAATATTGAGGGAGGCGGAGTATCGCGCGACAAACAAAGTGGTAATAAGCTCGATCTCAATGATAATGGAGTAGACAAGTTGGACGAAGGATGGAGGAGGGTCGAAGAATGCGAAGAATACGATGAAGATTATCATAAGGTAGGGGAGAACGAAGAAGACGAAGACAGCGACGAAGAAGAACTGGAAATAACTCCTTGCGTACTGCAAACTATTCCTTATTACGACAGAAGTCCTGGTGATGTGTATACTATTCTCGAAGAAGACGAACCCTCCCCACCGGGGACAGAACACAAGACACTTCACGGTACCGATCTGAATTCGGACACAGCTTCGTCTCTGATACGCTGGAGAGGTAAAAAGAGAGATTAAAAAGGTGGTGTGGCAAAATGCCGCGATCCGGGTATAACGGGGGCACAGATAGAAAAATACAGCCTCTGGGCCTCCACTTCATTTTATATTCAGGTGTGGGTTCGGAGATGTAGCCTATCAGCGCCTCTGTGAGTAACTGCTGAGGAAGTTTAACGATATATAAATATCATATCTGGCCAATCGAATTTAAGGAAATGATGGAACTTAATAACACAACTCGGAATTATTATCATTCTTTAAAGTGAAAAACTTCCAGATATTCTTAATTTAATATAGGAGATGAATTTAACAGCTTTTAGTACATTTAAACAGCATATCCTCAGCACTTACTTCCCAGTTGTGGTATTCTGGTGACTGGTCCAATCGATTTTGTCGTTAGGCACTGTAATATGGAGGTCATTGGCCCAGCCTCGATGTAGTCAATGTTTCTTTACTTCTTTCCGTAATCGAAAGTTGGATATTATTTACAGCTTTGACACGTAAAAGAAAAGGCCTCTTTCCTCTGCCCAACATATTTCCAAAACTGCTAGATTTGCAAACAAATATATCCAATTTATGTCAAGAAACTTTATATAATATTTATTTTTTCGATAATAAAAAATTTATAATAATTTCTAATTGATTTTTGTCTGAATATAATTTTAATGGAATGTATGATAAAAACAATTTCACTAAATCACTAAAATAATATTTAAAATTTCAAGAAATCATTAATGAATATTCTGCAAAAGATATAATTTAAAATTTTCTGCCTTTAAAAAATACTTTAGTTATTCATAAGATTATTAAAACGTTATATAGCTTAAGTTCAATATAGAATGATAAGAAATTCAATTTTCTTCCAAACATTTTTAATGTTATATTCTAATAGTTTGATAGATTAATAAAATATAATCAAATTGTTTAACATTAATCTCTCCAGAATAGCTTCGTGACTAATTTTAGACCAAATTGTAGGATGGAGTCACTGAATGCCACAAAATTTAGGATACCCGTAGACAGACGTTAAATCCATCTTATGGCTGTTGGCATCAGATTATTTTCCCTCCCGAATGTATTTTTACAATTTTTTGGGTCCTTCGCGATTTTGAATCCTTAAAACGCCATCAGCCAAAGATGGTTTTCCTCTTCCTCTTGGTCTCCGCCACCCTATATGTTGGTGCGAAGAGTCGCAGGTGGGACTTTTTCTTTTTTCTCATTGCATGGATATTCTATCTCTATCATGTCTTTACCGTCTTCTTTGCAAGATTGCATATTTTCTTTTAGTTTTCAATTATATTAATTTTTAAACGCTTTTTAACAGTGGTGTATTGATGGATTGTGTGTACCTATTTTGTTATTCTATACCTTCACCAATCCTATAAATTAAAAACTTAACTGTAATGAAAATAATAGTGTGTAAGAAATAAGGCAAAAAAATTTAGAAATGAAAAGATAAACATACCGCTGAAAGTAATGTAAATAATTATAGTAAATATTAATAGAATTCAATTTTTAAAATTAATTAATTAAAAACTAAAATGATTTATTTCGAATAAGTAAAAATCTTATGTAGATCATTGAAATTTAAACATAAAAAAATTGTAATATTAATTTGTAAGAAAATTTGAATCGTTTCACTGATTTTTGTTATCCTTTTTTTTACTTATAATTCAAAAAATTGAATAACTACATGATAGATACTTGTTTTTTCAGGTGTAGGTCAAGCGTATCAGCGGACTCTTTCTTCAGGCCAGCAAATCATCCAGGTATCTGTTACAGATGATAAAAACAGAGCTCTTTCTCAAGTTCAGCAAGTGGGTTTAGCAGGAGATATAGGTTATCAAAGAGGGGTTAATGCCACTGATATATCTAAACCAGTTTCTACTTCTGCAACCATACCATCAACAGTACAATCAAAGATGGGTGTACAGCAAAGGCTAACTGGTGTAGTCCAAACTACGAATTTTAACCAAGTTAATAATGTTACTACTTTAATCACAGATACTAAAAAAACGACTAGTAGCACTGCCATTCCGAGGACAGTGCCTTTGATGTCGATTAACCAAGCTTTTCAGCAGCAGCAGCAGCAACCTCAACAGCAACAACAACAACCACAACAAACAGCTCCAACCACACAACAACAACAAATACAGCAGCAAAGGGTGGGTCAACAATCGCCCAAACAGAAGCCAAATAACATCGATTTACAACCACAAAAGAAACAAAAAGCAAAACCCGAACCGCAAGATTGGTCCCCAGTTACGGATTTATCACCGATTATGGATGTCTCGCCTTCGATTGAAGCAGCGGAACAAGAATTAATGGAGAAGTTTCGAAAGAAAGTAGAGGATGAAGATATGGGCAGACCAATTGTGCAGGCTAACATACCACGTGCTACAAGCGGAACTATATCAGGTATGCTAGCTGATTTTAATAAAGCAATGGGTCTTTCAAGCACATCTCCCATTGATGACGCTCAGGCTAGATCAGTGGCAATATCTGAATCAACAATTCCTTCATCCCAAATACAAGGCATAATTTCTACAGATATACCAATGGATCAAAATCAGAATATCATTCAACAGCAATATCAGCAATATCAGCAACAACAGGAGCAGCAGCAACAATGGCAACAACAGCAATCTCAATATCAACAAATACAACAGCCGCAATGGCAACAACAACAACAGTTGATGGCTCAGCAACAACAGCAACAGCAACAGCAGCAACAACAGCAACAACAACAGCAGCAACAAATCCAACAACAACTTCAACAGCAACAACTTCAGCAACAAGTATCGTCGCAGCAGTTGCAACAACAATCTCAACAGCAGACAACACCAAGAAGGATCCATCGCCGTCTTCCTCAACCAACAATGGAACAAATGCAGGCAGCAGTTGCAATGGCTGCTCAGGCACCACGGAGCAAACCTCAGTCTCAAAGTAGACAAACAACTACTCAATCTCAAGGAATTTCAGTAGCAACAACTTCGAGCATTCCATCTCAAAGGTCAATAATATCTTCCGCTACCCCAAGGGCAGATGTGGGTACTTCTATCCTAAATCAACCGCAACAAGTAACAGCTGCTCTGTCGACCGACCAATCATGGATCCAGCAATTAAGTTTGGGAGACCCGGGCAAACAGTACGTAATCACTGGATCCGGTACCACTGCAGCTACAATCCTTACCTCAGCCCTTCCGATCACAACAGTCGTAACGGCCACTGTGGCATCCTCATCCCTCACACCACAGCCCAATGCCCAATATTTACAGGCGCAAATACATTCATCAATAAGTACGAGCCATGAAGATTATGGAGCACGGGTTGGTTCTAGGACCCCAAATATTGGAGGAACTTCACCAGTGCCTGGATATGGAAAGTCAGTGACACCCGTGACACCCCAGACACCAAGTACTCCAAGGGACAAGGTACAGTAAGGCTAAAAACAGTGTGAGGGTAGAAATATGTGTAGCGAAGTTTATGTGGGACATTTTGGCAGGGATCCTTCAATAAGTGGACACTATCGGCGATGGGTTGCTGGATTCGTGTTGTGTGCTCCTGTTCCTCTAATAACCAAATCCCAGTCCCCACGGGTTAATCTCATCACTTCATCTTCCTCTTGATCTTTCCTTGCTTTCACTGCTTCTTGCCTTTTTTCTAAGTATTGCTTTTGTATCTGTGGTGGCTCTATGTTTCAGTTATGCTTAATCATAAGTTAATTGGGAATTTTTATTATTTTAAAAAATTATTTTTTAATAATATAAACACTTTTACTTTTGTTAGGGCGATTCTTCGGATACTCTGAGTGAGGCGGATAGCCTGAAGACTGGGAAGATAAGGAGAAAATTGCCACCACTACCACAAGATCAGGAGCCATCACCTATACCTAGTAGGAGAGCTAAGGATAGGATCCGGACCTTATCGAGTGGTGCAACGCCCTTACCTCAATCCGAACGCACTAAATCACCGTTTAGAACATCTTCCCTGGATAGCGGAGTAACTATGATACCTACCTGCCTCAGCGATGTCTTGTCAACATCACCTCGACCTAGTGCTAGTGAAAGTTATCTTCAAATGATCTCATCAACAAGACCTTCTAGCATGACCGAAGGGTCGAGTCTGATGGGAAGAAGAGACTTAAGCGCTCCTCATAATCTCTCTTCATACTTAAGAGATGCTAGCAGTTTAACGGGCACAAAGTTGCCGTCTTATATCAAGTCACTGAAGCAGCAGCTTCGTGAGGAGCTGAAATCTGTCACTGAGGACCGCAGGAGAATTTTGGGCAGGGACCCTTACTATCGTCGTAGCGAAACAGATCTGTCGTCCCTATTGTCCCACTCTTGGCCCGAGGATCGTTACGACACTTTTGCCTCGCATCGAAAGATGTTGCACAGCTCCACGCCGACGGCGCTGCTTCTGCCGACTTCAACTAGACGACAAACTTCCCCAAGAAGTTCTCCACAACCATCTCCGAGAAGAACAAGACATAGAAGACACGCTTCGGATCCAAAGGTACCACTTTTCTCACCTATCAAGGAAGATCGTGATTCGGAATTTGATCTTGGTGCATCTTCTTATTTGAAACCTCAAACCGGACAGCCATTCAAGTCATTCGAATTCGAATCCATCGATGATAGATTGGGAGGAGACAGTTTACTTAGATCTTCAAGATATGGAGGAAGTTTAGGAAGCGGATTAGCTAGTAAATTCTATCAGAGAGGTTCTTCGCTATCCGACATCCGATTCGGAGAAGATATGGATTCTAGGTTTCCGATAAGAGAAAGCACTTTAATGGATGATTCTGATGATTATTACAGAAGATATGCTCGAGAACTTATGAGGTGAATTTTCAAACATTGATACAATAACGAACAATTTAAATTTTGTAATCAATGTTTATTTCAACCAGGTATCGTAGACCTAGCGATGGTTCCCTGTATACTCCACCCTCCTTGCGAATGGGATTCGATCCATGGGACAGAAGCAGCTCGTTCTATATGCTCGGCTCCGACAGGAAGAAGAGAAAAGACAGAAAGCCACGTAAGCCAAGGTCCTGGCATCCATCGCCTTACGTATCGGAAGATGAGGACGACCAGACGTCTCGGGAGAAAAGGAAGGCTAAAATCAAGGCGGAGATAGCGAGGCGCAGACATCAGATACAAGAAAATGCTAGGCTGCACGAGGAACTGTACAAATTGGCGAGAATGCGAGATGGTTCGGAAAGAAGAGGTGTTGGCCCAAGTCGTGTATTATGTGTGGCGTGTGTGTGATTGTTTCCCTGAAGAGGATCCTATTATTTAATTCTCCACCCTCACTAGATGTTTTGTGTTCAGAATCGGAGCGAAATGTATTCCTCATCCTTCAGCTGCATAATTATTGGCACTGCATAAATTCGCCATTTCTTGTGCTAGCTGGGTTATAGGATGATATACGATCGCGTCGGTTCTGTTATGTCCCGTCTCGTTTCATGTCGTTTGCGTTTATAGATGTGAAAAGGCTGGATAACGTATGATTTCCATGTTTGTCGAGACATTCGGACTTCATTTTTTCAAAATTATTAATGGCTTGTTAATATAAATTAAAACTTTAATTAAAGTTTAATTTAGCGAATAAATTATTAGAAAAAACTTAAACTTTCTTTTATAAAGTTTTATTCGATTGCTACCAGTTCCAAATAGGAATGAATCAAAAAAATTTTCCAATAATTAATTCAAATAAAATTGAAACGCTAGAAATATTAATCTCTATAATTGTGTTTTCAATTTAAAGTTCAGAAATTAAAGTTATATTACCATTTCCAAGCGTTAATACCTTGTGTTTCAAGCTTATTAAGAATTTTGAATACTTTAAAATGGAATAAAAAAATTCTGAATAAATATTAAAATTATTATAAATATTTTCCGTGTTTCAAAAAATAAAAAAATAGTTATTTCTAATAGAACTGCGTTGTTTAAATGATGACAATTATAGAAGATTTATTATTGGGAATATATGGATTTATATGTCTTGACCCCTATGTTTGTAATTGAGACCATTTATGTGATCGTGATGACATATGTAGCTTCCATAATTTATGTATTTTATTTATTTGTGCCTATTAGTTTAAAGTAGTTATTGATTCGATGGAAAGAATATATCAATGAAGGGCGAGGTGGATGGTTGAATGTTTATGTTCAAAAATGACGTCCTCATGTCAAGAAGTGGATGGAAACCACACGTATCCCTGCCTGTCTATCTGTTCTTGGCGTGTTCGTGGCGACTGTGAAGGCCTCACGATACACATGGCAGCCTCTATTGTACAAAATAGGACGGTTTCAAATATAGCATAATGTACATAGATCGATTTACTTTCTACAGTCGATTTGATTTTCTTTCTTACAAACTTTATCTTGTAGCCTAGTAGTCACATAGATCAATTTAAAACTACAACTATACTATTTTCTTTTTAAGATTTATTACTAAAATCTTTATTTTAATCGAATTACAAATTACGTAATGAAGTTATACGTATCGTAGACGTAGCTTATAAATTTATTTTACCAGATAATAAAATTGTAGATTTTTTAGGGGAAATGGAACTCGTGTTAATTAGAATTAATTTTAAAAAAATGCTTGCGTCAAGTTCGTCTTTTAATTATAAAAACCTAAGCATGTATTTACGCTTTGAGTGTCAAATAACATTTTATATTTTTAAAATATTTTAAAGATTAACCTTTACAATACAAGTTTTTATTAATTAGAGATTTAAAAATTAATTAATTTACTAATGATTTGGCAATCAAGGCGAAAATTCATGTAATAAAAGTATATATTATCATTTCCTACAAGGGAATATTTTGTATTTTATTGTAGCACCATATGGAGTTTCGTCAGCAACGTTGGACCACGTGGGTTATGGGGATTCACTCTCTAGAAATATTGCCGAAGGATATACATCAACCGGATCTAGTAGCGTACTTCAGGCCATAGATGAGATTCTCAAGAGGGACGTATATGGGTCCTATCCCAGAAGACTAGGCTACGAAACTTACGGCAACAAGCCTGGTTTCATGTACACCACAGCTCCTTCCAACTATCCAACTCCTCCACGATCCAGGTTAGAAAATTATTTCATGCCTATATTTAATTAATTTATTAGTAATAAAACGATTGATTAACGGAACTAATGTAATAGTAAAATATTTTAACTTTGATAGAGGTCTGGAAGGATGTCATAAATGGATTTTAGAATAATCTATAAAAAGTAGAAAGGGAACAGATAAAAATGAAAGAGACAGAGCAGAATGCTTTTAAGAATTTTAGATTTAAGTTTTAAAATGTAGAACTTAAAATAAATCTAATGCAGGTGCGTTTTAGAGAAGATAAATTCAGTTTTTTAGAAAGGAAAACTTTCAGAATATCGTTTATGTTAATGAGATGGCCCAAAAGAACCACGCTTTTATTAATAACGAAGCTTTTGACAGCAATCGTTAATGGTGTAGTCTTTGAATGCAGATGTACTGCATTTCTATCGTAGTATTTTTCGATTTCGAATAGGCATCTGTTTGCATATGCCTTGCTTGACATTAATGTTCATTCTACGCAACTTCAATACCGATTATTTGGATCGATCATAAAATAACCATTTTTTATTCCACCACCCGTCTAATATTCAATTTTGACGAATAATCGCAATAAGAATTAATTCTCTACAAAAATCTACATTTGAATAATTTTATCGGATTTCAATGAATAATAATAGATGTCAGTATATTACTTATCAAAATTCGATATGAAAGTTCTTTTACTTTTATTAATGTCATCTTTTAAAAAAATATTCTACATATAAACATAAAAAATATAGATAATCGCCATGAAAGTTATTCTTTTCCTATTCATTTTAATATATATATATATTGTAAAATATGGGAAATAAATTTATTATAAACAGAAAAGTATTCCGTTTATTCATTTTCGATTCCTGCATAAGACTCTTACTAGATTGTTATTAACTATTCACAAATATACATTTTCGAATAGTAGTAATATGCAACAAAATATGGATCATTTCTCCTCAAAATAGCCATATAAATGAAAAATGAATGTTGTAGGGGGTGTTTTTTTTAAATGATCAAACATTACGCATCGATCGAGTTAAATTTTTAAGGTTTCCCTACGAGAAATAAGTCATTAAACATTCTACTGTCGTTGAAGTGATTCAACACAGTTTTCTTTTTGCCCCTACTTTATTTTATTTTTTATTTTTTTTTTATCTAATGTTTAGTATCTTCTCGATTTTTCTTTTTCTCGTTATACATAGTTTTGCATTGGGGGTATAAAAAAAGAGATACAACGTGTGGAAGAGAAGTGAACTCAGTGGCATCGATTGATCCGTGTTGTAGTTGCAGGTCAGTCAAGTGGATTCGATTACTTTGGGATTTTATAAGCAAAATTACAAACGAAACTAATTTTGCTTAAGATAATTCTATTTTACAACAATTTTCTTACATTTGCGATCTTAGCGTATTGATTTATAATGCGCATATTGCAGCGTTAATTTTAAATGCGTTTGTTAATTTCCATTAAAATATAATATATTTTGAATGCTTTTATTACAATTAATGTTAATATCAATTAATTTATTATTAATTAAGGTTTATTTAATAGTTTAAAAAACATTTAATTAAAGCAGAATGCGCTTCAAAAATAAGTATAATACATTGTATTAAATTGTATTTATTTTATATTCACAAAAGAGTGCTGTCTGGATCTTAAAACTTTTTAATTTATTTATTTAACACAATAATAATCGATAATCGTACGTTAAATCAATCACTGGTGTATGCTTTCACAGTAAAATGTACGGCTAAAAATTCAAGAAATACTATTCAACTAAAGGAATCATATGGAATGTATTACTGTATATGAGAAGGCATTTCCTACTAGAATTTTGATTCATTCAATATTGGATAATATTGCTTCAATGCAAAAGTTCCGGACAAATCTACCTTGAAGCACTCCTTCTTATATATATTAAAACGCAATAAACCATGAGTGAGGAATGATATTCTTGTATTGCATTCTATATAGAACTTCTAATACTATCGAGTACTATTTTTATGCTTTAAAAATATACAGAATAGCCTTATATAAAACACAAAATAAAAATAAGACATATTTTATTAAATAATTTATCATTTTACAATAATGAATTATTTATGCTTTTAATTATAAAAGTTTATTAATAATTAAAAATTATAATAAAATATATTTCAATTATTAGAATTCATTCTAAATTAATCTTTTTTAAAACTTGGTAAAGATATTACTTTAAATAATTAAACCTGTGCGTTAAAAAACTTTTAGAATTTTATAAATGAATGATTTTCTTCTTTTCTTTCCATTTAAAATAAAGTTTTAAATAAAATTATATACATTTTTGTACAGAAAATTAAAAAAAATAATAATAATAAATCGTTTTGACTAAATTTTAAAAGAATTTTCAGAATTCGATTATTTCTAGATTATAAAATTCTCGATTGATGATGTTATCTTTGATAAGATCGTAAAAAATTCTAATTTTGTATGCAAAGATAATGAGGATAAAGAATAAAAAATGTTTCTTGTAAAGACTTAATAAATCCATTAAGATTTTAAAATAGCTTTTAGGCAAATTCGAACAATTGTTAAATCGTTTTAGATTAAAAGATTTATTGCTTGGTTTGTTACAAAAGCGAAAAAAATGTTTTTTTTTTTAATATTTAAATAAAAAAGAAAAGTTTATTTACAATAATAAATAAAACAAGGGAATTTTTTGATTAATTAAAAATGTATTAAATTTCTTTAAAATATTTGAGAAAATTTTTCAAAAAGAAAAACTAAAAGACTTTTTAGAATAATTATTTAGAGAGACAATTCTCATTTTGTGCAATTTAATAAATTATTCTGAGGTAAGATTTTATTTATTAAAATTATATAAGTTAATTAGACATATTTTAAAGCTATATTCACAAATTAATGAGTTAGAAAATTATTTTTACTATATTTAACATAGAAGACAAATTTCGAGACGTCGCATTATTCCTCATTTACTTAGTGTAAGATAAAAATAATTATAGTGTAATTATCTACCTCTTAATAATTGTAGGTAGTTAATTACGTTTAAAACTTTATGGAAAGTTATCCCTATCTACCTGATTTTTTTTTCTTACTTATCAATGATTTAATGTAGCATTTCATCGGTTAATCGAACGAAGATTACTGTGGTCTGTCATTATTTCAGGTACGACTACAGTTCTTCCACGAAGGGTTGGTATAGCGATTTGATCAGTCCTTCTCCCCAGTTTCCCGACAACACAGCGGAAGACAAGAGCATTGCGAGAATTGCTTCTACGTTCCAGGGCACGAGAACGCCACCAGATCTTCATCTTTCCGTCCCGTTCGATCCAATGTCCGATTTTTCACCAATGACAACAGATACGGAGACACCGACGGAGACAGATCCAACTCCTGCAATGCCACTTCTTCCCGACATGCCTACAAGATCGAGGAAGATTTTGGAAGATCTCGGGAGCTCGCCAATAGTTAGTCAGCACAGCAGAGGGAGTAAGTACGACTTCATTGATTTCCTGACCAATAACAGAAATTTATACGACGATATTGGCTTAAACCACTAAGATGTAAAATTTACCGCCAAATCTATTAAACTTTAGCTAAACTATTCCAATATCCTTCCTCTCTTTGGAGAAATGCAAATTACTATTGTTGAAGTAGAGAGCTATTGATATTAAAGCGCTTTGTCAGTGATGTGAGATAAGAAAATGAAAAATAATTAAACAGATCTTGCGCTCTGCAAGATCTCGTTAATCTCTGGAAGGGTTAGATGAATTCACTGTTGTGTTCCTGCATTTTTGGAATATAGGAAAACAAAAGTTTCATTCTCTGCCATTGTCGTTCCGGCTAATTTGAATGAGAAGTAGATCTCGTTTCCTTAACAACCTAGTTAAACGCTATTACTTCAGCCATTATGGTTTAGGAGATCTTGTCTAAATAAATAACATGGCAGAAAAATTTATAGGTGTAATATTTTTTGGCATGGAAAGAAATCGATGCATTTAAGTAATAGACGGTCATTAAAAATAGTAAAGAAAGAAATATTAAACTTATCGAAGCTATTTTGTACAATGAAAGTCATCGATCGCATTCACTATCCAAAGCCAAAATTTGAATCGATTATTTTGTTTCTGTTAGACAACAATACTTAGGCCATATAATATTGAGACAGAGATTTCATGATTGACTATCGGTTGAAATGTCAAACACAGTACTCTGTTGATCCAAATCTTTAGAAATCTTCCACCTACACCAGCTTTGAGAAGGGAAGCGGCTCCAATTTCACACACGGCTTCAATCCCATTTTCTTGTCAAAAAGTATATGGCTGTCAACTTGTCTCTTTCTTTTTCTGATGATTAATTTTGTGTCTTATCAACTTAGTGAACTTGTCAGATTTTAAGTTTTTTTCTATAAATTTCCACAAATATCTGAAGTACTTTTACACAATATTCAAGACACCGCTTAACGAGAGATAGGTTGGAACCTCTTGTTATATTAGTCTAATGGATAAACTGAATTTTAACTTTAATCGAATGTTCCGTTAACATTTTTATGGCCATAGACAGAATGCATTTTAAAACAAGTTTATTAAGAAAAAGTTTATTTTCCAAACTGATTTAAAGTGTTGTTGTTATGAATCTACTTTTTTCTTTTCTGGAATTAATGTGATATGAAATGAGATAGAATTGCTTGATTTACATAAGAATATTTTGGTGCTGCAAAGTTATCAATTTTTTATTTAACAAAATTATTATTATTATTAAAATTCCGTATCCTCACAATGTTTTTATTCTGTTTATTTTTTTTTCTTTATGAATCTACAATACTTTCTACATTTCTCTTTTATTCTTTGAACTTAATCTTGCGTTACATTTCATTTTCATTATTTTTACAGTCATTTAGCATCTTTAATTAACTTTTTCCTTACTATCAACTGCTTTATCCATTCAACCTTTTTAAAACTTTTTTTTTTAATTCGTACTTATAATATACTCATTATTCCCATTCGCTTATTTTTCTGATGGCTTTTACCTTATATTCTCTTCCCAATTTCACTGTAGATTTTACCTTTGAAATCTGATATAAGTAACAAAAATGGCATTTATCCAAGAGAATAGTTCATTATCCGATTTGCGTAACATCATTACTCTCTTCTATGATCGACATACTTCCGCCTATTTGTCTATTTATCGATTTACGCATTAACTATGATACCCCCAAATTTTTTTTTATATATATATTTGAATTGCTAATATGCTATATATATATAAATTTCACTTTGATATTAAATAATATAGAAAAAAATTTTTTATGAAGGTATGAACGTATTAAAATTTTCGAGACCATTTATATACATATTCGATATTATTTAAATATATATATTTACATTGAATCTAAATATATAGAATTTTCCTTCATGCGAAGTAACTTATCATAATGTGTCATCGGTTGCTACCCATGTTAATGCTGTCTTCGATGGTTTAGTTTTCATCATTATAAATAGCTTGAATGATTTTTTCAAATCGTTAGAATTTAAAAAATTTTTCTAATATTTTTCTAATATTATTCAGTTATTGCCTAGTTACTTTTTATAAAGCGGAATTCCTAAAACTGTTTCTATTAAATTTATTAAAACTCGGAAATAGATTTACATTCCGGAAGGTCGACTCTTGTTGCGAAAGGGAAATGGCTATTTCCTTTTTCCAACCAGGAAATGACTAATAAACAGCTCTTCCTTCGATCGCGAGAAACAAAATATGCAAATTAAGAAGATAAAATTTATACAACTGAATATTGCAATTTTTCTTACGTACCAAAATTAATTTCGAGGGGACAAAACTAATAAGATACAGAAATCGAAATGGAATATTGTAGAATTGATAAATACAAGCAGCATCTATAATATAGGCAACTCTATATAATATATTTAAAGTTCTCATATATATATAAAGCCCTATATAATCGTAAGAAAGGATGGTTTAAAGCTATTTTAGATGGCATTGTAAATAAATAATTATTTCTCGATTTTTAAAATGAATATAGACAATAGCATGTTTAGAATGCTAAAAAGAAACATAATTATATATCTGAAAATAAAATAATTTGATTCTTTTTAAAATTTTAATTTTGTAAAAAATAAAAAAAATATATTTAACATTTTTTGATGATGTTCCAAGATATTGACGATTATCCTAATTATTCTGTGGTTTGATTTTTATTTCACTTATATTTATTATTAGGTCTATTATTTTTTTGTTTTACTTAAAAGTATTAAATATTTTTTTATATTTAATTCTATATCTAAAAATATTTGTTTTAATTTTGTTTTATGATAATGTAACGCAAATGTATAGTAAAGAAATATATGGATAAACGTATTTTTAATATATTTGAAAATTTGGAACCATAGGAATTATGCTGATCTTTGTTTATTCTTTTGCAGGTAAAGCATGGTGCTGACTAAGGAGGAACGAATTTAAATTATTTTAATGATAGGAGCCAGCAAGTTAGTAAAAAGTTGCAGAAGAATTTAACAGGCTACATCCAGACTTTTCACCAATCACAGATAGCATTCGGAGTCCTGTTGCATAAAAATTACAGGTTACAAAGCTAAAAGACATTAGCTCGTAGCAAGTACAGTATTTGTAATTTGTTACTGATTATAAACAATTTTATGCAATAAAAATTGCTTTCGACTAATAGCTAATAATTTGTTACAAAACATTTTATTCAACACAGTGCTTGTAATTTGTAACTTGTAAATCTTGTAACGACTATAAGCATCTTAAATATCAAGACCCTGGATGCAGCCTGTTAAATTCTTCAGCAACTTCTCGCGGCCCTGCTATTAAAATATCTTGAATTCGTTCCCCTTTACTCTGCCTTTATTTAACCTATAAAATAATAAAGAAAGACAATATAACTCTTATGGTTCCTTACTTATGGGTATCCTGTATAGTTTGCTTAATATCGTTCATTAGTTTTAGACAAGCTTCTTTTATTTGAATGAAATTTACAGTACTTACAGTTAATCAAAGCCTCTAATTCTCTCGAAGCAACTTCGTTGGATTCAATTAAAATCATCACCACTAAACTACTTGTATTATTACTATTGCGTAAAAATGTTAAAACACGAAGTTAAATAGTCTCAACATTGAATAAAGATAGAACAATTGTGTAGTAACTTAACTTTTTTGATATGGCGAAGAGATTATCCTCTGACAATGGAGGATTTAGAGTGGTTGGAAGAAAAATCTCGTTAAACCAGACTCTAGACATGTTTTTTTTTTTTTGTTCAATAAAACAAAATAAAATAATAATAGAATGAGAATAGTTGCAATAAGATATTATCTGTAGCGAATCCGACAAATATCATTTATTAAATTAAAGGGATTTTAGCAACAGAACAAACATTTCGGAACTCGTTGTTACATGAATATGTTATGCTAAATAACATTTAAAAAATATATTTGTCTAAAAAGTACTCTACGTGAATGTATATAGTTTTAGATACACAGTATACTGTATATAAAACAAACTAATCATTCAAATTTGCCAAAAAAACCTTATTGATAATGAAAGTGATTTTAAAGAATTTTAATGCAAATCAGACGCATAAAAATGCTTAATTCGCAAGTCATATTAGAATCCTTAAACATTATTGAAAAAAATATTAGCCTAAAATCAGCATATTATCAATATTTTAATTTAAATATAGAATTTTAGCATCTGGATAGGTTTAGAATAATATTACAATGAATATAAATTTGCGAATATTTTTTATTTAGCGATAAGAATAGTTTAATATTATAGCTACTTGTATAGAGATTACACCCGATAGATTATAGTCAAGATGTAACAACTATAAAATATTGGAATACAAATTTAGCAGTAACATTGTTGTGCATTGGGACAGAATCGATCTTTAGTATTCTAGCTATAGTGAATCAACAATTCCATCACACATTCCTATTGCATAGTAAATTGCTCGAATCGAACTGAAAATGCTACATATAAACTGAATGGCTGTATAACCTAAACAATCTTCAATATAGCTACTGTAATTTTAAATCGACAATTAAAAAGTGAGATCGAAATCAAAAAATATTTTTATTAATTATTATTAAACGCTTTTATTTTAAACTACTTTGCATCATGTCTTCAAATCGTTCAAATCAGATTTCGTCCACTTGTAACTAAGATAAAATGATGAAACTTTGACGACAATGCGTGTTAATGCTGTTTTAAAGGGTTGGTCCCATCCCCACCATCCTCGCCACTCCAAACACCAATAAACATAACCAAATATAGAATTTAATCGTGTATGTGTGTGTGTAAATTCATTGTAGTGATGTATATGGTAGGGTTATATATACTTCCACCATCCCAAATCTCAAAAACAGTCTTTTAAGTCCCAATAAAACAGTCTTTTAAACGTATTAAAACTATTCCTTTCTTTTTTAAAGAAGAGAACACTAAACTTGCTTATTTGAAAGTACTGTGGTTGAGATATAATTTTTAGGAATTTATATTAATATATACAGTATATAGTATAAGGAATAAATACTTTATTATAGTATATTCTATATATGCGATATAAAAAGCATAAGTTATTTTTAGTTTAATACATAAACAAGATATTTAATTCTATATCTAAAAATATTTGTTTTAATTTTGTTTTATGATAATGTAACGCAAATGTATAGTAAAGAAATATATGGATAAACGTATTTTNATTAGAGATTTAAAAATTAATTAATTTACTAATGATTTGGCAATCAAGGCGAAAATTCATGTAATAAAAGTATATATTATCATTTCCTACAAGGGAATATTTTGTATTTTATTGTAGCACCATATGGAGTTTCGTCAGCAACGTTGGACCACGTGGGTTATGGGGATTCACTCTCTAGAAATATTGCCGAAGGATATACATCAACCGGATCTAGTAGCGTACTTCAGGCCATAGATGAGATTCTCAAGAGGGACGTATATGGGTCCTATCCCAGAAGACTAGGCTACGAAACTTACGGCAACAAGCCTGGTTTCATGTACACCACAGCTCCTTCCAACTATCCAACTCCTCCACGATCCAGGTTAGAAAATTATTTCATGCCTATATTTAATTAATTTATTAGTAATAAAACGATTGATTAACGGAACTAATGTAATAGTAAAATATTTTAACTTTGATAGAGGTCTGGAAGGATGTCATAAATGGATTTTAGAATAATCTATAAAAAGTAGAAAGGGAACAGATAAAAATGAAAGAGACAGAGCAGAATGCTTTTAAGAATTTTAGATTTAAGTTTTAAAATGTAGAACTTAAAATAAATCTAATGCAGGTGCGTTTTAGAGAAGATAAATTCAGTTTTTTAGAAAGGAAAACTTTCAGAATATCGTTTATGTTAATGAGATGGCCCAAAAGAACCACGCTTTTATTAATAACGAAGCTTTTGACAGCAATCGTTAATGGTGTAGTCTTTGAATGCAGATGTACTGCATTTCTATCGTAGTATTTTTCGATTTCGAATAGGCATCTGTTTGCATATGCCTTGCTTGACATTAATGTTCATTCTACGCAACTTCAATACCGATTATTTGGATCGATCATAAAATAACCATTTTTTATTCCACCACCCGTCTAATATTCAATTTTGACGAATAATCGCAATAAGAATTAATTCTCTACAAAAATCTACATTTGAATAATTTTATCGGATTTCAATGAATAATAATAGATGTCAGTATATTACTTATCAAAATTCGATATGAAAGTTCTTTTACTTTTATTAATGTCATCTTTTAAAAAAATATTCTACATATAAACATAAAAAATATAGATAATCGCCATGAAAGTTATTCTTTTCCTATTCATTTTAATATATATATATATTGTAAAATATGGGAAATAAATTTATTATAAACAGAAAAGTATTCCGTTTATTCATTTTCGATTCCTGCATAAGACTCTTACTAGATTGTTATTAACTATTCACAAATATACATTTTCGAATAGTAGTAATATGCAACAAAATATGGATCATTTCTCCTCAAAATAGCCATATAAATGAAAAATGAATGTTGTAGGGGGTGTTTTTTTTAAATGATCAAACATTACGCATCGATCGAGTTAAATTTTTAAGGTTTCCCTACGAGAAATAAGTCATTAAACATTCTACTGTCGTTGAAGTGATTCAACACAGTTTTCTTTTTGCCCCTACTTTATTTTATTTTTTATTTTTTTTTTAATCTAATGTTTAGTATCTTCTCGATTTTTCTTTTTCTCGTTATACATAGTTTTGCATTGGGGGTATAAAAAAAGAGATACAACGTGTGGAAGAGAAGTGAACTCAGTGGCATCGATTGATCCGTGTTGTAGTTGCAGGTCAGTCAAGTGGATTCGATTACTTTGGGATTTTATAAGCAAAATTACAAACGAAACTAATTTTGCTTAAGATAATTCTATTTTACAACAATTTTCTTACATTTGCGATCTTAGCGTATTGATTTATAATGCGCATATTGCAGCGTTAATTTTAAATGCGTTTGTTAATTTCCATTAAAATATAATATATTTTGAATGCTTTTATTACAATTAATGTTAATATCAATTAATTTATTATTAATTAAGGTTTATTTAATAGTTTAAAAAACATTTAATTAAAGCAGAATGCGCTTCAAAAATAAGTATAATACATTGTATTAAATTGTATTTATTTTATATTCACAAAAGAGTGCTGTCTGGATCTTAAAACTTTTTAATTTATTTATTTAACACAATAATAATCGATAATCGTACGTTAAATCAATCACTGGTGTATGCTTTCACAGTAAAATGTACGGCTAAAAATTCAAGAAATACTATTCAACTAAAGGAATCATATGGAATGTATTACTGTATATGAGAAGGCATTTCCTACTAGAATTTTGATTCATTCAATATTGGATAATATTGCTTCAATGCAAAAGTTCCGGACAAATCTACCTTGAAGCACTCCTTCTTATATATATTAAAACGCAATAAACCATGAGTGAGGAATGATATTCTTGTATTGCATTCTATATAGAACTTCTAATACTATCGAGTACTATTTTTATGCTTTAAAAATATACAGAATAGCCTTATATAAAACACAAAATAAAAATAAGACATATTTTATTAAATAATTACATTAACAAACTGATAAACGTAAACTTTTGTAATCATTTTATATATTATTTTGGCTTTATTAAATTTTAAAGTATTGCTTATACGGTTGTTTATGTATTGATATATTTTATTTCTTTATTTTTATGGCATGTGAAAGAATCTGTTCATGATCATGGGCGTGGGGACACACTAGTTAAAGGGCAAAGGTGGTTAGTTCGGCCGAAATTTTACACAAATTAAAACACAAGTACCAACTTTTTATATGCCATTACTGATAATTTGTTAACCTTTTCATTTTTAGTGCCTGTGTTTTCTTTTTGTTCTTGATATACCCGAATTTTTCCTACTTGTTTTTCCCGAATTTGAGAGGATAGTTGCTCCCTGCTCCCTGACTCATACGCTCATGTCACTCCTAATTTTCTCAATTATATAGAAATTAAATAGACACTATGGTAAAATATCTTAAGATAACGCAAAAATAAAAAAAAATGTAACAGTCTCAGTTATAATACCAATTTTGCTGCAATTATTATTTTATACTTATTTGTTTTTTTACATTTATTTCATAAAAACGTTATTAAATAAAATACATTTTATATGAATTTTTTTTTTCATAGAAAAAATGAATTTTTCATTATTTTCGTCTTAATGCTGTTTTGATTAGTATGCATGGATGATGAAGTCTGACGAATCAAATTCTGTAGAAAGGAATTCAGAATGGCAAGGAAAATATCACATAAATTGGCACTGACAAGATATACAAAGTTACGCTGTCAAAATAGATTCGGGTTATTCGATATATATCTTGATTAATAATGTTATAATGTTCGATATAATGTTGATTTTTATATATTTATAAAGAAAATCAAATATTGCAACTTGCCATAGTTTCGATGATTTGATGCGAATAAATGTCAGCGAACAATGAATAATTAATTTATAAAGAAAATAGTTTGTATATTTTACCATATAAATTACATACAAAACGTATAAAATCTATAATTACAGAAATAAATAAAAGGTAGAGGATTTGTTTCTATTTTCGGAGGAACTAAATTCCTTTTATAACATTTAGAAAAGTCAAAATTATTGTTGTTCTCTAATCCATTCAGTTTAGGGATTATGCTGAGAACTATAATAGCTACAATTTAAATTTTTATTTTATTTCATTTTCCTATAATTTCTATCAACGAATTTCTTTATCTAGAGGAATATTTCATTCAAATACGTGCATGAATTTGTTTATAAAGCAGCTAAAGTTATGCAAAATTTTCGTCTTAAGTGATATGAATAGCGAATGTATCAATAAAATCATTTTAAAAATGTTCTTGATAAAATCTTTCATGAAGGTTAGTTTATATAATTAAATAGGATTATGGAATTAATTTTACGAAAACTTTGAATATTCATAAAGGACTTTCTTTAGCGGGAAAATTAAATTTACAGTGGAGAACTAGTTCATTTTTCTACTTCAGTTATTAATTTCAGAAACAAAAGCTTCTTTCTTTGGAATAGAAATCAGTTTTCTTCAAAACTTTCTTATAGATTTTATAACATTACATATTGTTCGATGGCTCTATATTTAAATTTAAATAATTAAAACGAACCAGTATTTAGTAGAGAATATTTATTCAATATTTAGAATACGTGGTAAGAGTAGAAAAATATGCAAATAAGNAAGTTAATTAGACATATTTTAAAGCTATATTCACAAATTAATGAGTTAGAAAATTATTTTTACTATATTTAACATAGAAGACAAATTTCGAGACGTCGCATTATTCCTCATTTACTTAGTGTAAGATAAAAATAATTATAGTGTAATTATCTACCTCTTAATAATTGTAGGTAGTTAATTACGTTTAAAACTTTATGGAAAGTTATCCCTATCTACCTGATTTTTTTTTCTTACTTATCAATGATTTAATGTAGCATTTCATCGGTTAATCGAACGAAGATTACTGTGGTCTGTCATTATTTCAGGTACGACTACAGTTCTTCCACGAAGGGTTGGTATAGCGATTTGATCAGTCCTTCTCCCCAGTTTCCCGACAACACAGCGGAAGACAAGAGCATTGCGAGAATTGCTTCTACGTTCCAGGGCACGAGAACGCCACCAGATCTTCATCTTTCCGTCCCGTTCGATCCAATGTCCGATTTTTCACCAATGACAACAGATACGGAGACACCGACGGAGACAGATCCAACTCCTGCAATGCCACTTCTTCCCGACATGCCTACAAGATCGAGGAAGATTTTGGAAGATCTCGGGAGCTCGCCAATAGTTAGTCAGCACAGCAGAGGGAGTAAGTACGACTTCATTGATTTCCTGACCAATAACAGAAATTTATACGACGATATTGGCTTAAACCACTAAGATGTAAAATTTACCGCCAAATCTATTAAACTTTAGCTAAACTATTCCAATATCCTTCCTCTCTTTGGAGAAATGCAAATTACTATTGTTGAAGTAGAGAGCTATTGATATTAAAGCGCTTTGTCAGTGATGTGAGATAAGAAAATGAAAAATAATTAAACAGATCTTGCGCTCTGCAAGATCTCGTTAATCTCTGGAAGGGTTAGATGAATTCACTGTTGTGTTCCTGCATTTTTGGAATATAGGAACACAAAAGTTTCATTCTCTGCCATTGTCGTTCCGGCTAATTTGAATGAGAAGTAGATCTCGTTTCCTTAACAACCTAGTTAAACGCTATTACTTCAGCCATTATGGTTTAGGAGATCTTGTCTAAATAAATAACATGGCAGAAAAATTTATAGGTGTAATATTTTTTGGCATGGAAAGAAATCGATGCATTTAAGTAATAGACGGTCATTAAAAATAGTAAAGAAAGAAATATCAAACTTATCGAAGCTATTTTGTACAATGAAAGTCATCGATCGCATTTACTATCCAAAGCCAAAATTTGAATCGATTATTTTGTTTCTGTTAGACAACAATACTTAGGCCATATAATATTGAGACAGAGATTTCATGATTGACTATCGGTTGAAATGTCAAACACAGTACTCTGTTGATCCAAATCTTTAGAAATCTTCCACCTACACCAGCTTTGAGAAGGGAAGCGGCTCCAATTTCACACACGGCTTCAATCCCATTTTCTTGTCAAAAAGTATATGGCTGTCAACTTGTCTCTTTCTTTTTCTGATGATTAATTTTGTGTCTTATCAACTTAGTGAACTTGTCAGATTTTAAGTTTTTTTCTATAAATTTCCACAAATATCTGAAGTACTTTTACACAATATTCAAGACACCGCTTAACGAGAGATAGGTTGGAACCTCTTGTTATATTAGTCTAATGGATAAACTGAATTTTAACTTTAATCGAATGTTCCGTTAACATTTTTATGGCCATAGACAGAATGCATTTTAAAACAAGTTTATTAAGAAAAAGTTTATTTTCCAAACTGATTTAAAGTGTTGTTGTTATGAATCTACTTTTTTCTTTTCTGGAATTAATGTGATATGAAATGAGATAGAATTGCTTGATTTACATAAGAATATTTTGGTGCTGCAAAGTTATCAATTTTTTATTTAACAAAATTATTATTATTATTAAAATTCCGTATCCTCACAATGTTTTTATTCTGTTTATTTTTTTTTCTTTATGAATCTACAATACTTTCTACATTTCTCTTTTATTCTTTGAACTTAATCTTGCGTTACATTTCATTTTCATTATTTTTACAGTCATTTAGCATCTTTAATTAACTTTTTCCTTACTATCAACTGCTTTATCCATTCAACCTTTTTAAAACTTTTTTTTTTAATTCGTACTTATAATATACTCATTATTCCCATTCGCTTATTTTTCTGATGGCTTTTACCTTATATTCTCTTCCCAATTTCACTGTAGATTTTACCTTTGAAATCTGATATAAGTAACAAAAATGGCATTTATCCAAGAGAATAGTTCATTATCCGATTTGCGTAACATCATTACTCTCTTCTATGATCGACATACTTCCGCCTATTTGTCTATTTATCGATTTACGCATTAAATATGATACCCCAAAATTTTTTTTATATATATATATTTGAATTGCTAATATGCTATATAGGCCTATATAAATTTCACTTTGATATTAAATAATATAGAAAAAAATTTTTTATGAAGGTATGAACGTATTAAAATTTTCGAGACCATTTATATACATATTCGATATTATTTAAATATATATATTTACATTGAATCTAAATATATAGAATTTTCCTTCATGCGAAGTAACTTATCATAATGTGTCATCGGTTGCTACCCATGTTAATGCTGTCTTCGATGGTTTAGTTTTCATCATTATAAATAGCTTGAATGATTTTTTCAAATCGTTAGAATTTAAAAAATTTTTCTAATATTTTTCTAATATTATTCAGTTATTGCCTAGTTACTTTTTATAAAGCGGAATTCCTAAAACTGTTTCTATTAAATTTATTAAAACTCGGAAATAGATTTACATTCCGGAAGGTCGACTCTTGTTGCGAAAGGGAAATGGCTATTTCCTTTTTCCAACCAGGAAATGACTAATAAACAGCTCTTCCTTCGATCGCGAGAAACAAAATATGCAAATTAAGAAGATAAAATTTATACAACTGAATATTGCAATTTTTCTTACGTACCAAAATTAATTTCGAGGGGACAAAACTAATAAGATACAGAAATCGAAATGGAATATTGTAGAATTGATAAATACAAGCAGCATCTATAATATAGGCAACTCTATATAATATATTTAAAGTTCTCATATATATATAAAGCCCTATATAATCGTAAGAAAGGATGGTTTAAAGCTATTTTAGATGGCATTGTAAATAAATAATTATTTCTCGATTTTTAAAATGAATATAGACAATAGCATGTTTAGAATGCTAAAAAGAAACATAATTATATATCTGAAAATAAAATAATTTGATTCTTTTTAAAATTTTAATTTTGTAAAAAATAAAAAAAATATATTTAACATTTTTTGATGATGTTCCAAGATATTGACGATTATCCTAATTATTCTGTGGTTTGATTTTTATTTCACTTATATTTATTATTAGGTCTATTATTTTTTTGTTTTACTTAAAAGTATTAAATATTTTTTTATATTTAATTCTATATCTAAAAATATTTGTTTTAATTTTGTTTTATGATAATGTAACGCAAATGTATAGTAAAGAAATATATGGATAAACGTATTTTTAATATGTTTGAAAGTTTGGAACTATAGGAATTATGCTGATCTTTGTTTATTCTTTTGCAGGTAAAGCATGGTGCTGACTAAGGAGGAACGAATTTAAATTATTTTAATGATAGGAGCCAGCAAGTTAGTGAAAAGTTGCAGAAGAATTTAACAGGCTACATCCAGACTTTTCACCAATCACAGATAGCATTCGGAGTCCTGTTGCATAAAAATTACAGGTTACAAAGCTAAAAGACATTACTTGTAGCTCGTAGCAAGTACAGTATTTGTAATTTGTTACTGATTATAAACAATTTTATGCAATAAAAATTGCTTTCGACTAATAGCTAATAATTTGTTACAAAACATTTTATTCAACACAGTGCTTGTAATTTGTAACTTGTAAATCTTGTAACGACTATAAGCATCTTAAATATCAAGACCCTGGATGCAGCCTGTTAAATTCTTCAGCAACTTCTCGCGGCCCTGCTATAAAATATCTTGAATTCGTTCCCCTTTACTCTGCCTTTATTTAACCTATAAAATAATAAAGAAAGACAATATAACTCTTATGGTTCCTTACTTATGGGTATCCTGTATAGTTTGCTTAATATCGTTCATTAGTTTTAGACAAGCTTTTTTTATTTGAATGAAATTTACAGTACTTACAGTTAATCAAAGCCTCTAATTCTCTCAAAGCAACTTCGTTGGATTCAATTAAAATCATCACCACTAAACTACTTGTATTATTACTATTGCGTAAAAATGTTAAAACACGAAGTTAAATAGTCTCAACATTGAATAAAGATAGAACAATTGTGTAGTAACTTAACTTTTTTGATATGGCGAAGAGATTATCCTCTGACAATGGAGGATTTAGAGTGGTTGGAAGAAAAATCTCGTTAAACCAGACTCTAGACATGTTTTTTTTTTTTTTTGTTCAATAAAACAAAATAAAATAATAATAGAATGAGAATAGTTGCAATAAGATATTATCTGTAGCGAATCCGACAAATATCATTTATTAAATTAAAGGGATTTTAGCAACAGAACAAACATTTCGGAACTCGTTGTTACATGAATATGTTATGCTAAATAACATTTAAAAAATATATTTGTCTAAAAAGTACTCTACGTGAATGTATATAGTTTTAGATACACAGTATACTGTATATAAAACAAACTAATCATTCAAATTTGCCAAAAAAAACCTTATTGATAATGAAAGTGATTTTAAAGAATTTTAATGCAAATCAGACGCATAAAAATGCTTAATTCGCAAGTCATATTAGAATCCTTAAACATTATTGAAAAAAATATTAGCCTAAAATCAGCATATTATCAATATTTTAATTTANTATCCAAGCGGAAATTTTTTAAAATTGAAAGGGCCAAATTTTCTTCATAATTTATATGCTCAATAATTTTCCAAAGTGACTATTAAGAGTTTTAAAAAAATACATAAAAAGATAAGAAAATTAGATTTGAAGACTGATATAATTATAGAATTTGTTAAATGGAGAAATTTTTCTCAATCAATTATAACTACTAGAAAATCTTTTTTTTTTCAACTTGTCACATTTGATAAGATGGTTGTTAAAAAAAGAAAATTCAATTTTTAATCATCTCGAAACTCTTTGAAATAAATGAAGTTCAGACTTCTTCATATCGAAAAATTGCAAATACTAAATTATAAGTCTTGATGTGTCCATTCATATATGATTAATTAATAAGTAAATGCAACAGTATTTTTCGATGATAACTTAATAGAGAAATATAAAAAAAAATATTTAAGAATTTAATAAAATTTTAAGAATAAAAAAAAAATAAGAATTTTTAATAAAATTTAACTGATTAACAGAATATTTAATTTTTAAAAAAATGTAAATTTTTTGAATAAAAGAAGTTCGATAATCAAATAATCTATTATCTACATACATATTTTTGAAAGTGTGTTTGTTTGTCTGCTATAGAAATTATCGAGAAGCTCCAGATATAACAGCGCTCAGTTTTTTTTAAAACTCTTTTTACGAAGAATCTAATTGTGCGATTTAAAGTCGGCACATCTGGTAGCCGAAATTAGAACTAGTGCTTACTTTGCTTAATGAACGACCGTAACAGAGCTCGCAAACAACTCCTTACAATTACCACTATGGTATAAAAATATCTCTTCGGTTGCTGC